GTCTGTGCTGGATTCCAGCCTACACGCAGTCCTCTAAATCCATCCAGAATGGCAAACATTAACTAGCACAGCAGTGACCCTTTGGCAAGGGCAGCCACACATAAAAAAAAAAACCTGCCACAGGCGTCACTCAAGACTGAGACTAAATCTCCCTTCACTTAACTACATCATATTACTTCTACATCAGTCCTACTCCTGGCTCAGCATAGACGTCTTGAGTCCCTGGTTCCCCTCTGAATGAGAAGCCTGCTCCTTTTTCATGTGAGCACTTCTATAAATACATATCTATCAATGGTCACGACATGAATTCCCTGTAATCTGCAGCAACGTTTGCCTTATTAAAAACAAGATCTTACAGACGTCAAATAAAAGCAACAAGACAGAAGTTGTCTGTGGAGATCTTGGGTCTTAAAACACATAGTTTGCAGATGCTGTAATAGATTTGTTTTCCTGTCTGGTCCACTGTTTGTGTCTAGATCAGAGCAACAGCCTGTTCATATCCATCTCTGCTGCGATGCAATAGCTTTTATCTCTCCACACTCAGTCTGTGGCAACACAGACACAAGATAAAACAAATGACACATCAATCCCCCCCCTCTGATTCTGCTCCAGTGACAACATTACTGCACTTTTTGCTTAAGACTCATTCGCTGCTGTGTCCTTCCAGCTGTGAGGAAAACCCAGGCTCTAGGTGTTAGGACTCCACTTGACCCCATTGTGCATGTTCTCCAGCCAGGGTCTTCTCTCTGCTTATCTGACTCACTCATGCAAGTGGGTCACGCACCCTCAGCCTGCCTCACACTTCGACTTAGACTGTTGAAGTCGGAACATGGTTTAAATGAAGACAAAGATCATCACGATTGGCGGAAGAAAATATTTAATAAGTACCTCAAACTACTTTTGTCAAAAAATCACAAAGATCTCTGGACAAGTTTTTAATCATAAAGGAGTGATTCAGTCACAGTTTGGTTTGTTGGCTTTTTAAAATCATATTGTTCTGCTTTTTGGCAGTTGCCATCTTTCTTTGAGAGGCAGAATTGGCCATATTTTGATTGTGGACACATATACTTCAGTCTCTGAGCTGGTTGGCAGCTTAACAATGTGGTGTCTTGTCAATCACTGGTAGTCAGAGGCTAAGAATATTTCCAAATGATTTATTGTCGGTGTTGCTTTACACAGCACCATGACTTGTGGAACAAACACCATGCTTTATTAAAGAAGACATGAAACCATTGATTGAGACCATAAACTCATTAGGCAAAATGTTTGAACAAAGTGCATTCACACAGTTGGACACACTTTAAGTCTTAGGCTGTTCCTCATTGTTTTTTGAAATCCAGGAGCCTACATCTACTTCTTATTTACAATCTGTGGTAGTAATACAATGAATTAATCTGCAGGGGTTTTCAGTGAGTTGCAGGCCTTTAATGACTTTTTGCATTTGAAGGCAGTAGGCTTATTGAATCAGAGTTATAGAATGTTTTCCAAAATATTGCATTAAGATAATGAGAGTAATAATAGCTATCTGGTGTCCATTGATGATGATTGTGCGCAAATCCTTCCATTACACAAAGTGACTGTTATGCACTCCTCTCTCTCTCTCACTCTCTCCCCAAATTATCTCTCTCTTCCAGATGGAGGCTCTCTGAACGATCAGACCTGTTGTTAATTGCTTTAAATTGTTCTCTTTTTGTGAATTGAGGTCTGTTAGCCTCTTTTTTTTTTTTCTTTGTTTAGTTGCTATACAGTTTTGAGAGTGTATGATCTCTTTGGGCAGACTTATAGTTTTCATTCATTCATGGCATTCAAGTATTCTAAATGTATTTCAAAGACTCTTGACTGAGACATTGTTTATGTCACTGATAACAAGACTCAGGCAAATGTTTCTGTGTGTCTGTGTCTGTGTTGTTGTGTCTGTAACAATGACTCATTGCTCACCCTCACATCCTCCAAAACCTCCAAGTACAGACAGAGGGCACCAGAGAGCAAATCTTCTCTGAACTACCTCTGCATACCACATTGTGACATGGCTGCTGCTGCTGCTGTAGTCTTAAGCAGTGAATTGGACGCCAAGTTCTTAAACAACATCAGAAGACTCAGTTTAAAATTTGACGTCTGAAAGGTCTGTGGTTGCAAACACAGGCGCTGATTTCAAACCGACTTTCATGCTGAGCAAATCTAGACAGGATTGAGCAAATCCACATAATCTGGTTAAAATATGCTTAAGCAGCTTCTGCCTATCTCTGAAAATCTCCATTTTTAATATTCTAATCCAGTATTCAATACGGAAACAGACAGTGTTCAAAAGGGAAACCCATTTCCTCGATCAATACACTACTGATCTAGCCCTGTGCAAACAAAAGCAGTTCTGCGATTGAGAAGGAGGAGGCTCATGAGGTGATTTATGATGAAGTCAAAAGTCGAGAAATGAAAGGTCTACAGCTCTGCGCATAGAAGTCCTGATGATGTATAATGGACTGCTTAATTGCAAACCTTTTCAAAACCATCAATCATAACCCGATAAAGCTTTTACTTCTACTTTTCTGTGGAAGGGAGGAAAGTTTCTCAGTGCTGCTGCTTTTCTGTTATTGCTAAGTGCACTGTTGAAACACACTGAGGCTACAAACGCCTAACATAAAAGGGTTGGTGGTGAGTTAACTCATCTGCCCTCCCCTCCACTTACAGAGAATCTTAAAAATGCACAGTATGCTTATTGATTTTTCGCCATGTTTCCATTCAGGGTCGTGTCAGGACTTAATCCTGTTTAGCATACAATAAGCAAAGGAAAACACATGTGAAAGGTCACCAGGCCATCCCAGGGCCCATGTATTCATGTTTTAGTACAGGGTAGGAAACCTTACTTTCATCATGAAACTGGATTGCCATGTATTTTTAGACTATGCTTTCTGAACAGCCCAAGAAACCACAGATGTGGGTGGCTACTCACAGCTGCCCTACATTTTATTCTTACCTAAGGTACTCTATAGAGAAATAACTGGAGTAATAAGATTTTGTTGAAAAGCATTTCACAGGGAACCCTGTAGTGTGGCCTGTTTTACAAAAAAAAAAAAAATATATATATATATCTTTAAGTGGAGAGTGAAAGGAAAAGCAGTCTTTGCAGCATCACAGCTTGGTTGCGCAACGCTTTCAGCACTATGGAGAAGCGCCAGTGCTGAAAACAAAGCCCACTGGGGAGGAGGATTGACGGAAAAAAAAAAAAAACTTCAGAAATACTCAGTACACATGAATGTGCTTATTTCCTCCAACCTACTTCCAATCCTTTTAGAGAAAAAGTAGCCGAAAGTCCTTAAGGTATTTTAATCGAGCATTACCTTTTGTTTCAAAGGGCTGCTGGGATGAGTGTCCCCCAGGTTCACCTATTTGACCCAGAGAGCCTGTGTCATTTTCTTATTTTCTTACTTGTTGCAATAAATCCACTGATTTTTAGTTTTATTGTGTATCTGCAGTGTTTTCGGCGTTAGGGACTTCAATGTCAAAACCTCCGCTCTTGAATAATGAAGCCAATGCGGAAGTGCCTGCAGTTTGTCGAGTGGCCGCTTGAGGCTGGCTCCAGGAACACCGGAAGTCACATTCACACAAAAAGCCAAAAATGTATACAGCCTGGTACAAAAAAACGAAATACATCACATCAGATTAGTTATTGGCATCACTGGCACACACTGTACGGGAAGTGAATTCTTTTTAAAGAGCCCTGTTTTCATTTGGAAAACGATACGTGTTAGCCATACTTGAGTGTGTCGCTGAAATGATTGACAGGTGGGAGCGATGTAACGGTTCGTCAATAAGCTCTAAGCCTGTCGTTAGGTTGACTGAAAGTTAGGGAGACAGCATTTCCAGCATGGTGGCTGCTGCCGATGAGCCTCCGGAGCCCCCCTGCAGTGACAGATGGCTGACGTCACTCAGGCTTTATCTATTAATATTTACAGTCTATGGCTGTAGCACTTCTAACCTTTTCTAGTCCTACTGAATAAGTGTCGTAGAATATCTTCCAAAATCTCACATTCAATTGATGAGTCCAGTGATATAGTGTAACTATTTGAAATTCATGTCCCAAATCGACCTTAGTATCTTTGTATAGTTCCATGAACCTAACAGTGTTACTCTATGCTGCGAGAATGCTGTGGAATGTGAAAAAAAGCATATCGCCTTTTTGTTTGAGTTCTCTTTTGTATAGTGTTTGTATAGTTATTAACTGTTTTTATAAAGTTCTTTCTTGGTTGTCTCTAACTGTTACTTTCAATCACTTGGCATTTACAGGAGCCCCCTTTATTTCTAGGGAAATTAGGTGAAGCCAAGTCAAGTCTGGCATCGATAAATCCCTCTTGAATAGGTCACAGAGAGAGAGAGAGGAAATATATGAGGAATTAGATTGCTGGACAAATAATCACAGCAGTTTTTATTTGTCTGATATATGATACATGTTGTCTATATATCATATTTCCTCCTTAGCTGTTACAAAGCAGTATCCACATACATATGCGTGCAAATTTACTAAAAAAAAAATAATTGCAATAACTGTTATAAATATACAAATGAGTTGTACATGCGCCATGGATTGTAATGAGGACTTCTTCATATCATGCTACACTACTTCCTCACACATCACGTCTCCTGCTGGACATCAGACTGAGAGCTCTGTGTGGTCACAGAGAAGGCCACATAATGTGTCTCTAGGCTTTCAATAATCCAGAAAAAGCTATTATTTGTCTGCTTCTGCCATTTGAACTGCGAGCACGTCTCCTTTATTTGGTTTTCAATTTCCAAGAATTAGTACAGCGTGTTACAGTGAGAAACTGGGTCAAAATGTGTGTATGCAGGGAATTTCAGTGAGAGAATGAGACCCGGAGAGAGAGATGTGTGTGTGTGTGTGTGTGTGTGTGTGTGTGTGTGTGTGTGTGTGTGTGTGTGTGTGTGTGGCTTTCCAGAAGTCACTTCTTCTACTTTGTTTCATTTTTCATCACAGACCAAAACACAGGCACAGATTAAAAAGCTTTATTCAAACTAGTATGATCAGGCAGAACATTTAAGCCAAATAAGCAACATCAAAATCTGACAATTAACCAGACTATAGAAAATAAAATAAATAAAGCAAGACCATTCTCTCCCATTCTGTCTTTGATCCACTAAGTGGGATGGATCTGGATTATGGTTTTGATACAACTCTCGTGGCATACTGTACAATCTGAGTGGCAAAGTAGCCGAGGAAAACAACTGAGCTGTGTACACGAATGAGAAATAACACACTTTTTTACTATGCCGAGCACAAGCACCTCCTGTGCCATTTGATCACAGTGAATACAGATGATATCAAAAAAGTCTACGGTATAAAAAACACAAAGTATAAAGCAGTTTGATTTTACAGTAAATGCATCAAATGGTTCTTCTGCTCTGAGACCCAAACACTGAGCTCCCACTTCACAACTCTTGAGCCATTCACGGTAGTTAATCATTGGGGTAACTGTAATTAGTAATACTGAGGGACATGCCTTGATTTTAGCCATAAACAGTCGCAAACATCTTTCACAATGCAGAAGGCACGCAAGGAGCTCATCGTATGTGCAATTTTTTAAAATAAATTCTTACAGTTGGCGAGTTCAGGCATTGAATGCACACAAGAATTATAGATCCTTCATCACATGACTTCCTCAGTCTGACAGACAGACAGACTGTGTTTATGTCTGGTCGTCCGGCAACGGGGAGAGAGGAAAGGAGAGGTTTGATTTCCCTGACTCAGACTATGTATCGCAATACATGTAGAAATGTTCTCTCTTGCTGCATAACTGAGCGGCTGCAGCGTTAGCATTTGGATTCCTTGTGTATTTTTAAAGTGCTATCATCTGTGTAATACTTTCTAAGCACTGTCTCTTTTTTTTTCTTTTCTTTTTTTGCTGTGCGGAGTCAGCACCAGAATACTGTAACTATAATTAACACCCTGTTCCCCCTTCTCACAGTCAAATCTCCTTACCTCACCCAATTACATTTGATCATTTAGCACCCTAATGAGTAGTCTTAATAAGCTCCTTGTTTCTGAGAAATGAAAAGTCCTGGGCTTCACAGCAGCACAACGGCGCTACCTTTGAGGTCATGAGAAGTACTCTTGTTTCTATTTGAACTATCAAAAACAACATCATACGCACCAAACTACAAATATGCAACACAAAATGCCCTTCGAGAAGCTCACAAAAGCAGCGTTAAAAGTCATTACTTAAAATATCTATAAAAACATGAATATTCATAAAACAACACCTCGCCTGGGCCGTACTGTATATTTCCCTTACACCGAGGCAAAGATAAATTCATTTTAATATTCTTATTTTTTTTTCAATAAACAGTATTTATCATTACAAAATATTTTTTTTTTTATTTCACTTTTAATTGTATTTCTTTCAATTGAGAGTTGCACCGAGTGCTTTCAGAAAATGAGAATTCAGCTTAAGCCTGGAAAAAAGTCAGTCAGAATTAGCTTGTAAAGATAACAGTTTATAAATGTAATACGGTAAACCTTTTGCAAATAAAGTTAAATTGACATTTAAACCTGATTTTGAAAAATTATGTCCGTTACAATTGAATGATTTCCTTGCAGCCCCATTGTGACCCTGCCCCCTAATTCTGCTGATTGCCTCTGAATAGAGATTTGATAGAAAGACACCCCCCCCCCCCTCCTGCAAGAGGAGACAGGCTGAAACAGCGGATGCACTGGATTTTCGACACGATCACATTTCAGATAATTTCATATTGCTGTGTAATTTGTGCCTCCCCACTGAAGCCAGAAAACCGATACTTTGTAAGAGCACAGACGTCTATAAGGTAAAACCTGATGCAAAAGTGAAGGTGTCAAAAGTCTTTTTGCTTCTTTGACCTCTTTATCGTCATAGAACTACAGTATCTACAATCAACTAAAAAGAGAAACAAAGTATCTCCTGTGTTTTTTTAACTTAATTTTACAGTTTTCTTTCATTCTTTTTTGTCTTTTTTTCACACATTCATCACTGCTGAGTACAACAAACATTGTAAAAAATGAGAATTGTAAAATCAGATCATTGGTTTTTTTCATCAGAGAGTAACAGTAGAGAGTAAAAATTATTATTCAAAGAGAAAGAACACCAAGTGCAAAGCCTGAATTTGTGACAGAACCAGCTACAGTTCAGTATTTATCAGAGTAATGGAAGAATCATATTTACCCTGACTCATCTGACTATTTTGCAATAGGCGTGTTTTAAACTTCCGTTTTCAGAAATGTTGCATGACTTATGTGAGTTAAGCTACTGATGTTTTCTAGAACTACAGCACACCGCATAAACCCTGGAGAAAAAGGCAAATTTTGTCCATCGAGGAGAAAGCGTTAAGGAAGGAATGATTTACTACATGAGGCAACTCTAGGAGGATGCCCAAATAGCCTGCGATGAATGATTTATATTTCCATGTCCAAATATGTTGTAGAATCATGCAGATTCATGCTTGAAAAGAGAAAAGAAGGCAGAAAGCTGAGGTGATTCCTGGTCCATGTTTGTATGGGGGATTGGAGGAGCAGAGGAACAGAGGGAGGACAGTTGTTTTACATCTTCTTTTGTGAGTCATAGGGAAAAACCTTCATCCAGAGACTTCCATGAAGAGATGATTATATCATGGCAGTTCTCTTCTGGGTCCCTGCAGAGAGGAAGAAGAAAGAATGAGCCGAAAAGGAAGGCGACCTGGATTTACTGTAGAAAGTCCTCACTCATGCAACAGTGGATTGTGACTGGTTACTGCCACCATGTCATTGACTTTCAGGGACATTTAGAGGGACATTTCAATCAATCAATAACTGAGGTGCATTTTATTTTGTACCTTTCAAATTATGTTCTTGAGAATTCTGTTTTTTTTTACCAAATCATTCACAAATAATAGAGCAATGTATTGTGTGCAGCTTAAATATAACAGTAATAGGGAAGTGAAAGGTGTCATTAAAGCATGCACAAGCAGGCATCACAGTGTGCTATTTGGTATTGGGTGGGCCAATATTGTAAAAAAAAAAAAAAAAGAAGCAGGTTCCATGTTATTTTTGGAAACATTTGAGAGATGCCCAAACAGAGTTCATGTGCAGGGATGTGGAGATAGTTGACACAGTCTCTGCTCTCAGGTATGTTACACACAGAGAACCTATTTGGGACAATTCATTCCCTAATCCCCCTTTTTTCCGGTCTGTGCCATCACTTTGCCCTGAATCTCTGCCAGGCCGGCCAGATGTGCGCAACACAAGTCTGTCAGGCAGCCAATTTTTATTCTAATCTCAGCTCTCAGGAAGCTGATAGGTTTTTTTTTTGCAGTTGAGAGACTGGCCAATTTATATTTGAGCTCTCACAATGGCTTTGCACTGGAAAAACAAGAGTATTGTATTTGTGGGGGGGACGGAGTGTGACCGAGAACAAATGGAAAATATTTGATTGTGCTCTATTTAATCAGGAGGAGACCAATAGATAACACCCACATTGGGAACTGTGACAGTTTACCAAAGCAAGGTTTTTGAGCCAAACCAATAATGTATACCAAATAGAAAAGGATAGGAAATTATAGTGGCTCTACAGAATGTAGTTAGCAACCAGCATACCTCCAGTTGTAGAATGGACTTCCTTTCATTTTGAGTACTTAAGAACAGAAAAAAGAGACAAGTTCAGTTGTATGTGTGAAACTCAGACACGCTTACAGTACATACACATCACACACACACACACACTCTCTCTCTCTTTCTCTTCATGCACCTGTGCATCAATGCATATTCATGTTGTTTAATCTTTCAGGGGATCACTTGTTTCAGTTTAGTCTGCAGGTCCAGCTGCACAAAAGCAAACAACATCTGGATCAGCTTCCACATTGGTTACAGTCTACCGAGTGCACTGCAGACCCCCAGCATGATGCATCAAACTCAGCACAGCCATATAGCTCGTGTCCTTGAAGAGAATCCCCTCTCCTCCCCCTCATGTCTGGGCTTCTTTGAAGTACCCCCCTCCCTACTCTAACGCCTACTAGTTATGCTCTGATTGTATGTTATGCATCTGCAATAAAATGACCTACATACAACAAAGGACATGAAATAGTAGCACATTTCCAGTTTGGGGGTATTTGTTTGGCCTAATTATGCAATGAAAGTGCAGAGAGTTCGCCTTGGTAATCCACCATCATTATGATCCTAATAATGATGCATCAATCTGCGGCAGCATTTTAAGTTGTAGCTGGAGGGATTTTTCGTTTGGAGTTAGAAGCCAAAATTGTTGGGAATTTAATTTTGCTTTTTTTAAATGATCAAATATAGTTCTTTCGTCCAGAATCACCGCATGGATAGTTAAAATAAATCTCTTTACAAGAAATAGCCCCAAAGAGTGTCTAATTTTAAAATACTTAATAACATGTGTATAAAATAACATGAAGAAAGAAAGAATGATTCAAAGTTGACTTTCAGAAATGTGTCTTTGGAATTTTGCACGTGATGTATTACTATGTACTATAGAATGCATTCAGAAGTAAAAGCTCAATACAACAGAACTCATATTAGCCTTACAGGGGGAAGAAAACATGATATGATCGTTTCTTTAACACAGCAGATAGAGATGATAGTGTGTCAATTAGTGGTCTCAGAAACACCTGTTCCTTCTGTGTTGTCATTAAACATCCCTAAAAGTGATGGTGTTCCCCCTTTTTTTTTTAGTCCCTTCAAAGCCTACCATTTCGTTCATACGTACCTCCAGTGTGGATGCTCTGGAGTCTGTGGTCTCACTAGGCCCTATGCTCCGGGGTATACTGGACACAAAGTACCCAGCTCCTTTCGGGATGATGGGCTGTCTCACCACCACCTTGCCCTTCCTGGTCTCCGCCAGGAACAAACTGTACCAGTAGGCATCGCTGGAGATCAGCGTGGAGTCTGCGATGGTGGAGCTCCTCTGGCTTATCATGCTGTTCCTGCTGATCACGCTGTTCCTGTTGGCTGGTGGGAGCTTGATGGCCTTTGGTTTTGGTTTCTGACACTTGAGCACAATTATTACCAAGATGGTTATCAGCAGCAGGAACGACACGGCCCCTAAACCGATCACCAGGTACAGGTTCAGGTCTGTGAAGACGTCGTACTCTATGGGCAACTCTGTGGTCTCTGAAAAGGACATGGCATGTTCTACCGTTGATATCTTGATGGTGACGGTGGCAGAGAGAGCGGGTTGGCCATTGTCTTTGGCGACGATCACCAGCCGCTGTACTCTCGGGTCTCTGTAGCTGAACATCCTTGTTGTCCGTATCTCCCCGTTGTATTGGTCCAAGCTGAATAGGGTTGAGTCTGTGATCTGCAAGAGCTGATACGTGACTCTGGCATTCTGCTCAGAATCTGCATCAATGGCAATCACTTTGGCGACTAAGTGCCCCTTATCCGTTGACCTGGGTATCACCTCCTCTACTACGGAACCCTGTGCCCGCCACGGTGACACGATGAGGGGGGTGTTGTCGTTTTGGTCCAGAATGATGATGTGGACCGTCACGTTGCTGCTCAGCGGGGGGACACCAGAGTCTCTTGCCTCGATGTGGAAGAGGAACTCCCTCTCTCTCTCGTAGTCGAAGGTCTTCAGGGCATAGAGATCGCCGTTCTCAGGGTTGATGGAAAACAGCATTGACATGGACGTGTTAACGATCTCCTTCTCCATTATGAAGTAAACCAAGTACTGGTTCTCATTGAGATCTGGGTCAAATGCGCTAAGAGATGTCAATAACGCCCCTGGTAGATTGTTCTCAACGACATGGATGGTGTAGAAGGACTGAGGGAACTTGGGTGCATTGTCATTGATGTCCAGGATCTCTAAGGTGATGGTCTCGTTTTCAGATAAGGGAGGTGAGCCTTTGTCTGTTACCCTCAAAGTGATGTCATACTTGCTTATTATCTCTCTGTCCAGCGGCTTTGACACAAGCAGCTCAAAGTAACCCTCTGATGATTTGTCAAGGCGGAAAGGTAAAGACTTTTCTTGATTCAAAGTGAGCTCTACTACCCCGTTCCTTCCAGAGTCCCTGTCTCTCACACTGATCACGGCAATCAGCGTCCCTACAGCAACATCCTCAGTCAGGGAACTTTTCACAGACTTGATGGTCACCTCTGGGTAGTTATCATTCAGATCTGTGACATTCAACAAGACTTTACAGTTTCCCGTGAGCGGGCTTGCCCCTCGATCCTGAGCCTGGATGTGCATCTCAAAACTCTGACTCTCCTCGTAATCAATCACCCCCTTCACCTTGATCTCGCCTGTGTTCGGATCAAGAGAAAAGATCTCCTGAGTCTTCTCTGAGGTGTACAGAGTGTATGAATACACCAGCTGGGCGTTTGTGCCTTCATCCAAGTCTGTTGCATTTAAGGTCATGACCACTGTCCCTGCAGCCGCGTTCTCAGAGACGTTCACTGCATAAACCGGCTGACTGAAGAGGGGGGCGTTGTCATTGATATCCAGCACATTAATAACGATGCTGGCTGTGCCTGAGCGGGGAGGAACCCCTCCATCCACAGCGGTTAGAATCAAATTATGGGATGAATGCTCCTCTCGGTCCAAATTACCGCTCAGCACTAAATCGACATATTTGGAGCCATCGCTGCCGGTTTGAATGTCAATGTTAAAGTATTTGCTCTCACTCAGATAGTACGTTTTGATTGAATTCGCCCCCACATCCGCATCCACCGCGTTTGTCAATGAAAACCTCTCACCGGGAGGGGTTGCCTCAGATATGTCCAAGTGCATTGTCTTCCTACGAAACAGCGGCGCGTTGTCGTTGATGTCCATGATTTCTAACTCGAGGTTAAAAATACGAATGGGGTTTTCTAGTATGACATCCATCTTCAGAAAGCACGAGGTTGTTTTAGTCATGCATATGCTCTCCCGGTCTATCTTCTCGCGGATTATCAGCTCCCCCGTTTCTTTGTTGATGTCAAGGTAATTTTTGCTCTGAATGACATCGAGTTTCGCGCTACGCTGCACCAAACTGCGAACATCCAGACCCAGATCTGTGGCCAGATTGGCAACAAAGGAGCCCTCCTCCATCTCCTCCGGTATAGAGTAGCGAGTGATGGACAGCGCGCATCCCCACAGTGCCATGAATGTAAAAACCGGCACGATCAACCGTGTCCGTAAAGGTGCATCGAAGAGCGCCATCATTGTGGTAATCTTTAAATGATGAAATGAAACAGACCCGTCCTTACGCTCAGGTTGTCTTCATGTAGGGGAGCGCCGGTGTCATTCTTGCCTCCACGAGTTGAAGCTGCAGCTGCAGTAGGCCATGCACGGTACAATACCGCTGGAGGAGCAGGGCTCACACACCACGGCTCTGCAGGGGCGTAGCCAAGCTTCTGTGTGGGCTGAAGGGGTGGCCGTAATGAAGGGCTGCATATTAGAGGAAATCTCACATCAGAATGTCCAAAACTGAATTAGAAAAATTAGTCTCAGTGAAGAAATACACATGAAAACATATGCTTAGAACAGGTGAAACAATTGACACAGGTATCATAAAGATGAACTTAAAATAGCCTACTACTTTCACTTTGAACTACTATTTCTTATACAACCACAAAAAAAAAACTGTTAACACTCAATTGTCAGCCAGTAGCATATTAGTGCATTGATAAAGAGTGCAGAGAATACTTAATGAGTAACGAGTGACTTATGATAACGTATGCAGTCAGTGCAGTTTGCATAGATTTGTGTGATGATATTACGTTTACATGACAAAAACAGTGTAAATAAGTCATTCATATTGGTATTTACTGGCAGAGAGGGTTTCTGTGTGGTAGGGTTATTGCATATTATTTAAGGAATTGTATACCTATTCAACTGCTAGTCTGAAGCTTGTCTCAGATCTTCTTTTCTGAGGAAGAGAATCACACCCCTCATGATGAAAAAAACACATTTACCATATGGTTTTATCAATCTCACCTCTCAGTCTTCAAATGTACGAAAACTGTTAAGTAATAAGATCATGAAAAAGATTACTTTTGTTGAGCTTTGTTAGGGAATAAAGATGTTATATCTAATTGATAATTGTCATTATTGAAACATCCATCACAGGGAATAGACATGAGAAGCCAACTCCCACAATCACATTTTTTTCATTGGTAATAATATCAATTGCTAAAATGCAACTATTATGTTAAAATGCAATGGTCTCCTTAGTTATTGTTTGAACAACTGATGACTACAGACTGACACAAAATTATTTCTAACTGCACTAAAAAACATCCTCTGAATACCAACAAAACAATAAGTACCAATGGCATCTGTAAAAACAACAAACCCCAAATTCAATCCAACACAAACCACGATAGGAAACGAGGCATTATGGAAAGTTACAGTTACAGTTTTGAGCAGCACAAATCTACACCAGATTGTAATTACTACAAACCTTTATAATAACTACCAATATTACATTGACAGACTATTCATTGTCAAACTGCAAGAGGCGCCTGCTTAATATCTGATGACGATATTTATGAGATCAGTTTTCTAAATAATGTCACTATGTATGTCATTTAGTTTGGGAAATAGAGTCTTCATCAAATCTATAAAGAGATTTAATCTACCCTGACATTTGTGTAGACTAGACTATACACACAGACTAATCTCATCAAAAACAGACAACGTTAAATAGATTTTTTTTATAAAAGTTGCTGTTTTGAAATGCAGCTGTACAAAAAAAACATACAATAAAGAAGACAACTAGACCCTCCAACTCCCAGGGAATCAGCACAGGACAGCAACAACTATATATTGTCTTTCTGATTTTCTATTTTTGTCTTTTTTTTGGTCCAAATTGTCTTAATTTCACTATTTGAAATGTAACTATATGTACTGTATATAGTAATGTGACGATATATTATAATTCATGTTGGAGTTATTTCTGTCCCTGCCGTGCCATAGCTAAAGCAGATTCTACTTCCTGTAATTGTTTGTGCTGTCATATTTTAATGTAATTGGTTTCCTAAACTAAGGGGATTGTAGCTGACATGATGTGCGATGAGATGAGAATGGTCCTCTTCATTTCTATCCTTTAGCTCCATCCAGTGGAAGTTTAAAGAATTACAGGATAATCTAAATTTTCCCCACCTCCCATACATGCACACATGATCACCTCTTAATGCATTTTAAAACTTTTAATCTAACGAATCTATTGTAAAATGTTAGCTTAAAAAAAGTGAACCTGTTATCAGTAATATATTATTTCAAATCATTTATCTTTTTTGAGGTCATTTACCTTTTATTATGAAGAGTATTCAAGTAACTGTTAACCAAAAGTTGTATGTCTTCACGAAAAGTTCTGTCATAATGTCAGGTCTACAATGTAAGGTATGGACAGAAGTGTCTGTCAAATTAACATGATGTATATTCTACAGTAGTAGACTGAAGACCAAAAGGCTTGGGAAATATTAAATGACAACAAATTAAAACAAAACTAGTAAGTATCCAGTCCCTATTGAAGAATGACCAAGAAAGCATGTGGTCACATTTATAAAATTAAAATAATAACTCATGGCCCAAAGTTCCCTAATGTGTGAGGCACCAGCAAGTAAAGCACAGCCACATGTTACGTTACTGCTGGCCACGCGTTCATTTAGACATAGTAAAGAGATAATCATTGTCATTATTTTAGCGTATGGGCTTTAGGGACTGTTCATTGTTGCTTTCGCTTCGAAAAAATGTTATAACCAATTGATGAAGACACTTGATGTTGATGATGAAAGTAAACAGAGTTATTTTTCTTTTTTTCTTTACTACACTCTGTAACCAACAGATAGCCTACATTGCAAATGGTTCACACACTGCTGCACAGCAAAGATGCTTACTTAAATACTTTGTGTCTTTGACAATTTTTTATTTTATTTTTTTGTTAATGTAAGAAAAAACACAAATTTGTCAGAAAAAAAATTCTAGAAATGAAAAAAAACAAAAAACACCTTATCAGTGCCCTAAACAATATGCAAACTGTGCACATACACGTTAAGTATCTTCATAATGTAACTGTGATGGAAAGGCTCCCTCTAGTGGAGAAATTAAGGAACATGCCTCTGCTTAAGCATAGAGGGGGAAGCCATGGATTGTTGGGAGAGATATGGAGGAGAAAAATAGAAAAAAAGAAAGCACAGAATTGGAATCTGACTAGATTTAAAAATAGCACCGAAGACAGACATATGCTGTGTCTTTGCTTTTAGCATAGGGGACTTATAATGACTGCTGAGCCTGGCTGTTTTTTTTATTCTGGTTGTGACACACTCAAAGATAAATCTTGGCCTGAATATCTGAAATTATTGGCAGGGCCTTTCCGGATTTCAGTTATAAAACGGCCTGACAGTCTCTTAATAACAGAAAAACATATCCAAATTTCCTCAAAGGTTTCGCCCCGTCTGAACTGGTCTTCAGAGACTTCAAAATACATCTGAACGTAGCCCTCAGCACTCAGCCTTTTAAACATGAAGCAGTTCATTGAAACAGTCAGGCTCCACACCTAAAGCATCCTCATGGACAGCAATAGATCAGTTATGGGTGGTGGGTCTGAAGGATTGTCTACCTGAAACCCTGACTTTACTGTCCAGAATTTTAAGAGAAAGGGTTAACTAACACTCAGAGCCATACTGTAACAACAGTCACTTTTCCACCTTGAGGTGACATGTCAAAGAGGAAGCATTCACATGACTTAGACCGGGCTCCTGCATTCAACTTTATAATATCTTAAAATACTCGGCTGATTACGTCATAGCATGAATTTAGAAAACATGGGTTTGATAGTTAGTGTCACAAAAAGATGGTAGTTCATTCATTTTACCCCTCTGGATAGAAATGTCAGTGTCAGCACCTTGGGGAAAAAAAAGGTGTTAAGAGCTATTTTACAGCCACCATGCAAAGTGAGTAGCTTGAAGCTAGTATTTGATTTGAGCTCTCAATACCATGAGATTGTATTTCTTTTTATAATCTATACAATACTGTATCTGTATTTGATTTGGAAAACAAAACTACTCATTCTACATTTTGATAGTGTTCAACTTTATATTCATAACCTTTCTTTACCTTTCTTTACCAAGTTTATGTTGAAGTTAAATATTCTCTATCTGTCATTTCAGAAACACATGAACACACTACTTCATCATCTTCCTATGGCAGGCTTTTTGGTGAAACGATAAATCAACAGATTTGAGGACAGATTTATTTATTTTAATATATATATACTGTACATAGAATATTTACAGCAGCGATTAAGTGCTTCATTTGTGGATATATAAATCACACCCAATAACAAATGCCAATCTGGAATGCATACAACATATGAAACATCAGTGATCATACAAACAGTGGTATTGCAGTAACATTGCAGACGTAATATTGCCCTCAAGGGAAAACTTTTTATATCTGATGTGCCATTGTAATGCTGAACTGCACAAGTCAAATGAGCAACATTACATCTGTGCTGTGCTCCATGAAACTCTACCCCTCGGTGAACCCTGCTTCTTTACATCCACACCCACAGGGTTATGTTTGTCCTTTTAATGTCATATTTCTCGATTAACAAGCATTACAAAATTCTGTCCTGTTTTGTACGTGTGCTGCTTTACTTTTCTATCCCATCACACCTATACCATCTGTGTTGTGTCAGGGCTGAATTACGCAGAATGGACTTGTGAACAAATGAGCTTTCACTAAATTTCACCATGCATGATTGGATGATAGTTTCTGAACTTTTTTATGCAACTAAAATGTTAACAGAGCTGCGTTTAGCTGACATTTGTGAAAAATAATGCCCACAAAGATATTTTAAATATAGCAGTAATACATTTATTTTTTCTTAAATACAAATCTTTGACACATAACATGATACTCATTAGCTGTCCCTATATGAAAATAAGGTGCAACCGTTTTATAAATGTCCCTGGTACATGGACAGCTCTTGTTATATAGACTTAAAGATGCTGAAATGATGGATTTTTCTTTTCTGTATTGGACATTCACTTTGATCTTATTGAGCACCAATATCTTCCAAGCAGAGCAAATCCTGAGCTCGTAGAAAACTGCTGAATAAACACTTTTTTTCTGTGTTTAAGTTTACACCTTTAATGCTAGACTTTTCCTTACTTTATTTTAGTATTACAAAGAATAAAAAATATACTGTGGTATGGAGTGGTACCAATTCCCACCTTAAAAAGGAGAAACTGTCTGTCATCCTCCAACAACACTACTCACACTGTAGAAGATATGTGTAGTTATTCGTGGAAACCAGTCAATAGCATAGTATACACAGAATGTACAGAAATGTGATGAATCACTTGAAGATGTCGTTGCTTATGAGGCTGTCGTCCCTGTCAAAAGTTTGTTCATAATTTGAGATAAATCTCTTCTTCTTTCCAAAAGTAGAGAAGGTGTTGTACACATCCAGCTCTCCTCTGGGTGCCAGCTTCAGGGTGCTGTAGTCAGACGTGGTGCCAGGTATGTAGACATTGTGTTGATAATCTGGAGGCTCAGAATGAGGCTGAGTGTACTTTGGAACCCATGAGTAGTTTGGAGCCGCTCCCTCTTGAAGCGACATCTTGCAGTCTGAAAAAAAAATGCGCATAAATTACAGTTTGTATCGGCAGATTATTTCTGCAAAGAGCCCGTATTTACATACAGTATACTTGATCTGAATGAGTTGGCTTTAAATGCATCTTCTTAATTTTTCTTGCAAAAAGGCTAAACACTTCTTGCGGGGACTTTGGTAATCCTCATGTTGATGCATTAAAATCCCCCCACAGTTTTGAGGCTGGGTATTATCTGCTTTTCAGTTTACTGTTTCATAGTTCGGAATAAATCCTTAGGCACAGACCCAGGAGAGCCCCCAACATCATCGCCCACTTTCATGTGTGTAACAAAGAGCCCGAAATGCAAAGTTCCAGCCTATACTGTACCTTTCATGTGGTTTCCCCAGGTCCAGTACTGTGGAGCTACAGGGCAGGAAAACCCTTCAGCATCGTACTTTTGTTGACGAGTTAGTGTGCCCTCCATGTTGGCTGAACTATACCTGCAGAGATGAAGATAAGCACAAGTTTAAGTTTAGTCGTGCCTTTGTGTGGTCATATCTGTTGGTTGTAATTGGTGCAACTGTGCGTTCACCTCTTGTATGCCGAGTTGCGTTGGTTTTTGGTCAAGGTCCAGTCCTTGTTTGAATACTTGAGCTGCACAATTGAGACATAAAAAGATTTAGTGAACTGAATTTAGATGCAATGATACTAATCTAATGGCAGGTATCAGATACAAAGGATTCTGTTCAGTCAAAGTAAGTTTACTGAAATGTGTTTTAGTCTGTTAGATGAAGATTAGAGGTTATATAGAATGAGGTTTGACAAAGTGAAATTGCTGTGAAACAGCAGGCAAAAGCCAAGAGGCAACTTCTCCCCCAGACAATTAAAAAAAAAACATTATATGGATTTCTAACATTGGCACAGAGAGTAACAGGCTCTCTAAAGCAACCTTATAATGATGGAAAAATGTTGCCCAAAGAATTTCCTTATTTATTTAGTAACTAATCTCCTTATGTTGCTAATGTGAGGTTAAATATATGGATGTACTGATGCTTTTGACAACTACAAGATCAAAAGACAGCTTCAAGACTGTGATAAAAATATGCATCTCTTTTATCTTTGAAACACCTTTTATGCGGGTGTCATGCACCTTGACACACTGTGGTAATTTGCCCAGACTGCAAGGTATGCTGTCACAACATGTGGGTTGTTTGAGGCTATATATTCCAATGGATTTCTTGCAACAAAAAAAATCACAAAAAACATTTGAAGTTGTTTTTATATATAAATAACAACTCAGGGTTTCATTTTGATTATATTTCAATCATTCAGTTATTTTTTTCACTTTAAAGTTGAACGTTAAATTGTTTTAAAACCATATATCATAAAGGTTAAAAGGTCCTCTTGTGTGACAAATGCATTTTGGGTTGCCCTAACCAGGCTGTCATTTCTAATTAGAGTGAAACAACCGGATGACTAGTGTTCTACTTTTGGGATAAGTGTTATACTTAAGTGATATGATAAGAGAAGTAACCCAATTACGTCTTTTTTTGCATGTTTGAGTGTATTTCAGTAGGCTATATTACCTCATTTGGGGTCGTTGCTCTGTTGTTGGCCAGCTCATTCCGGTCCAGCGCGCTCCAGCCAGAGGTCAGATAATCTGTGCTCTTGGCGTTGTTCTGCTGCACTGACATCACCGGGCTGCAGGGCTTGAGGAACATGAAGTCACTTTTGGATGATTCCGGAGTCAGACACATTTTGTAGCAGTAGACCTGCGGAAGTGCTCCGTTGCTGGTTGCCTCTGCGCAGCCTGGTGCGCTTGCGGACATCCGGACGTTCAGGTTGGACTTTTTGAACACCTCTGTGGTGGTGGATGCTTCCGAGCGCGTGCAGCAGCCGCAGCAGCAAGCGCTGATGGAGGGGAAGTTGGACTCTCGGTTGGACGGTCTGCCCTTCAATCTGCGCACTGTAACCAGGACGATTATAGCCACCAGAAACGTGAAGGAGATTGCGCCCAGAGACACGATTAAGTAGAGGGTGAAGTTGGAGCTGTGATGCGGGCTTAGTGACAGGTCACCCAAATCGGGCTGTAAATCTGGCAGGCTGTCAACCACTGACAGGATGATGGAAACTGTGGCCGAGAGGGGCGGCTGACCATTGTCCTTCACGAGAATGACCAGTCTGTGCCTCGTGGGGTCTTTCTCCACCAACTGTCGGATTGTCCTGATTTCCCCCGTGTACAGAGCCACGCTGAACAAGCTCGGATCTGTTGCTTGAAGCATTTGATAAAAGAGACGCGAGTTTTGACCTGCGTCCGCGTCCACTGCGCTGATTCTGGTGACAAGGTGACCGGCGTCAGCGGATCTGGGCAATGCTTCACTGGGCGCTGAGCCGTTTTGCGTGACCGGCGACACAATAACTGGTGCATTGTCGTTCTGGTCCAAAACGAAAATAGTCACTGTAACGTTGCTGATCAGAGGAGGGAAACCAGCATCTTGCGCTTGGACTGTGATCTGAAAGTTTTTAAGTTGCTCGTGGTCAAACGATCGCAGTGCGTAAATGTTCCCGTTGTCTGAGTTTATGGACACATACGTTGACATGGCCATTCCCTGTATGTCAGCATCCATTATGGAGTAGGAGAGGTATGCGTTTTGGCCAGAATCTGGATCCTGTGCAGTCACAGAGCAGATGGATGCACCCGGCGCGTTATTCTCAGTCAGATACACAGTGTATGAGGGCTGTTTGAAGCGAGGCGCGTTATCGTTCACATCAGACACTTGAACCAGGATAGTTTTCCGCGTGAATAAAGGTGGAGAGCCCATGTCTCTGGCAGTGAGAGTGATGTTGTACTCTGCGACTGCCTCTCTGTCCAGAAAATCAGAAGTTACTAATGTGTAGTAGTTCTTAAAGGATGAGTGAAGCTGAAATGGGACATGATGGGGATCTCACAGTCCACGTTCCCGTTTTCACCTGAGTCTTTGTCCATCACGCTTATGACGGCTATCACGGTCCCCGGGGGCGCGTCCTCCTGCACAGGTGTGGACACTGATGTGAGGATCACCTCTGGGAGGTTGTCGTTTTTATCCAATACATTAACTAACACTTTGCAGTGAACAGCCACAGCTGAAGGGCCTTTATCTTTAGCCTGGACATAAATTTCATGCATCCTGGCCTTTTCATAATCTATCACTCCTTTCACTTTGATTTCACCCGTGCGCGCGTCTACGCTAAAGAGCTGGCGCACTTTGAGGGGAGCGTGGCCACTGAAAGAATAGGTTATATCAGCATTGGGACCCTCATCTAAATCGGAGGCATTAAGTTTTATGACAACAGTTCCTTTAGGTGCGTTTTCAGCTAGCCTCACTCTATAAAAGGACTGATCGAACACAGGAGCGTTATCATTTGCATCCAAAACAGTGATATCAATTTGCGCAGTGCCGGATCTCTCCGGCGCGCCCCCATCCACCGCAGTTAGGACCATTTGATGCGCACTTTGCTGCTCTCTGTCCAGCGGACTTTGGAGGACTAGCTCTGCAAATTTACTGCCATCACTGCGTGTCTGAATGTCCAAAAGAAAATGTTCATTAACGCTCAGCAAATAGGTGCGCAACGAGTTGGATCCGACGTCCAAATCCTGTGCGCTCTCAAGTGGGAAACGAGATCCTGGCGCAGCGGACTCCGATATGTCCAGATTAAACTCGGTCCACGGGAAACTGGGAGAGTTATCGTTCACATCCAAGATTTCCATCTCTACCCTGTACAGCTCCAGAGGGTTTTCTATCACCACTTGCAAGTGAAAGGAACAGGACAAACTCTGCTCACATAGTTCCTCGCGGTCAATTCTTTCATTGACAAATAAAACTCCGTTCTCTAAATTCACCTCCACATATTGCTTCCTGGCACCTGAGACTATCCGGAATCTGCGCGCAGAGAGCTTGTTCAAATCCAATCCCAGGTCCTCGGCGATATTGCCAACAAAAGCTCCATGTTCCAGCTCCTCAGGGATGGAGTAGCGGATCTGTCCCCAGGCTGCATCCAAGACACAAGTGAACAACGCAAAACGGCACACTGCGTGCCATTTCCCAAACAGTATCTTCTTCTCCCCTTGTGTGTCCATCTGTAGGCTGAAGCAAAGCTGCATCTCACTCCAAACACTGTGTCTGAAGTGTGCTCAGATGAAATGTGGAAAATACAGTCTGGTATAAACTTGACATTGGCGGGACTGGCACAGCGACTGTCTGCCTGAGAGAAAATTGAGGAGAGAGAAAGGGATGTGCAAGGGCTACTAGCCTATCTCAGATTAGTGTGCGCTCTGTGTGTCTGTGTGTGCGTTTGTTTATTATTGGCCCTACTGTTCCAATAAGGGGGGGGAAACGACATCTGCTCGGATAATCTTTCCTGCCTACTAGCCCGATCAAATTCATGTCACAGTCCCCAGGCTCCGACCGCAGGTCAAACACTTGATTCAGTTTCTTATGAGAAGGTTTCACCATTTCAAGAGATATATAATTTAGCATAATCGGGTATAAACCAATGTTCCTGCAGCAAATTTACTCTGAGTCACAAAACTTATGACAGTTTGGTGTCAGTTCTTAACCCACTTTAATTTCTAAAAATGCTTCTCTAAATGCAGTTTATAATGGCACAAGATAGTAGGAATGGGTGACTTGTAAATCTAAGGATTTGGAATTCTATAAGAAACTATTAGATGAACTAATGATCATACTTAAACTGAACAGTGCAAATTACAATATTCAATATCATTTTTAGTTTATGTTGGTTATTGAAATGTTTAGTTAGTTGATTAAAGGGGAGAGGACAATCAGCTTCAAATAGTTCTACTGGAGGAAAAAGAATCATCCATTGGAGTTATACATTAATTATTTTTTAACAATCCGCATTAAAGAAAGACTAGGTCGGTCTTTTTTTTGGCAGAAACAGTTATATTAATACTTGTACCTGCAATGGCAGTAAATGATGTTTTTCAGTGAAACTAACCTCTTTAGTTTGGGTTTGAGGAGTTTGAAGTCTGCAAGTTGGAAAATGGGGCTCAGGAAACAGCTCAAAATCCCAGAAGTCATTGCAGAACCCTGGCAGCAATTCCTCTTGTTTTATACAGATTTTTTTTCTTCTCCACAGCATATTTCCGTGCATTAATACTCATGCGGAGCAGTTGTATCTATTTACCATCTACCTCAATGTATGCTCCACCCGGTTGCTCTAAAAAACTCTGTTCCCCTGGTTATAAACGGAAAACACAATCTGTCTGCAGGAATGAAGCTGCAGCAGATGGTGAGGTTTTCCACGGGCTCATGCTCTTTTTAATTAATGGAATGGAGATTAGAGGGCATTCTCCCTGGATCATTAGTGAACAGAGGAATTAAGACATTTTGTGAGGAATAATCCCAGGGCTATCCATGTGATGCACATGTGGTTTTCTCTCTGTGGTCATACTGACCTGCTTTTCACAGCCTAAGTGCATGGCATCACTTACTCATTGCAGAGACTAAGTAGCTGGGATAAGGGGACACAACCACCACATTTAGGGATCAAAAATACAAAAGAGATTATCTCCCATGTCCCTGTCTCTATTGCACACACACATACACACACCATCTCTCCCACTCTGTCCCTCTCTCCCTCCCTCTTGTTTCACTCAAGGGCAAAAGCAGAGTATCAATCCCTTTGTCTTTAACTACTTTCCAGCTTTAAACTGTGGGATTAGAGTAGGTTAGCCTATATTCTGCAGCTTTTAACACTTAAGCGGTTTTAGTTGCGTGGAAGCAGAGTTGTGCATTCCGCCTAAATGGAAAAATGTCTCTCATGAAACGTGTTCTGATTGTTACTAATTATTTTTAAATTTGACTCAACCTCCTGAGAAACATTACAGATGCTGTGCACCACCTGGTGTGAAGAGCCAACAGCAAATTGACCTTGAGGACTTCTCACATGATTGACTGCTGTGGTTATGAGTGGAAATTCCACCATCCATGCCCTTGTTTGTCTTGACACATATGACATGTACAACGCACATGCAGAGGGGAAATGGTGCTAAACAGAGACACAACATGATATAAGAACTGTTACAAATTGTTGCGATAGTTTTTAGTCTGGGAAACAGACTTAAGGTTGTGACTAAGATCATGAGCTTGTGTGAAAATGTGTGCATAAATTCGAATGTACTTTGGTCAAAAGGAAAACGTTGGTCTGAGTTTATCGAGTGCACTCAACAGAACAAATAATATTACCAAAGAAGGGGATTCTGGCTCCGATTCTGTCTGTAAACATAGTTTTTCATTAATAAATTAAGCAATTCAATAGTCTGCAAAAAATCCATTTGGATATTGCTTCATGCGCATGGGTGATTGTGTTTATTATTAAAGACTTTGTTGAACCGCACAAATGTTGTTCTCTCCTCCCCTCGGAGTACAGGGAAATTGGTAACTGAAAGGAATTAGAGGAGATGAGATGTTAACTCCTTATTCCTTCTCAGTTTACTTTTTTAACTCTAGCTGGTGTTTAGATATGTATCATCACAATCAATATGGTATTTACAAGTATTGTGTCTATACAGTCCAGTAACAAAAAGGTTTACGGTTTTAAGGGAATCTTCTTTCTTCTTGGCCTCGATATATTAAGAAACTCTTGTTTTTGTTATGACATCATCACCTGGCTTATTATAGGTTCAGTGTGTATATGGAAAAGAGCGACATCTCAAAGCAGAGTTGTTGTTCAGTTGTTCACATGGCAACCTCTTGACACTCGTAGTTGTCTCAGAAAGCCTCTGAAATCATCAACACTATTCCTGTCCAGGTAACCCACAGTCACAGGGAATCGAGAGTGAGAGACAGAAAATAACCTTTTTCCCACTTGATGCATCACCACCTCACTGAACAGTGACACCTTGTTGTCATGGCACCAAGTGTAAACAGTGGTGTTATGCATTCAAGCCACAGAAGGAGACATAATTACCTTTTTCATCATGTCCTCTCTATAGAAGGGTTAATATGTTGTAATCAAAGCTTCCATACATCAGTTAGGCATATATATGATCAAAGTGAGGTTGCCATGGTGTGGAGTATTATCCTTCAGCCTGACACTAGCTTTTTTTTTTTTTAGCTGGTCTCCTTAAGTCATCAGGAAAACCTCAAACATGAACTGTTTGTAAATTTCCTTGCAGGATGTTTAGACAAACATAGCTACATGTATTATTACTGGCTTTAAAAAAAAACATTTTATATTTTTTTTTATGGCAATTTATCTTATCCACTCCAAATGCTGGTTATTTCTTCTTGGAGTTAAAGAAATGGCTGGAATGAGCACTATTTTGCAAATGAGGAACAAAGTGTCTCAGACTCAGAGATTACAGAGCAATTCAGGTCACTGCCGGATGCAGAGAGGCTAAACAATTACCCCACCAAGCAGATGTCTCCGAGCTACCACACAGCAACACCACGCATCAATAGAGAGACTGCTCAGTCTGTGTAACGTGGACTTGTTTTCCCAAGAGGACGGACTGTTAGACAGCCAATTTGAGAAGCTTCTACTCTGTTGCTATATGATCATTAGTTTGGGAAGAAGGAGAGGAAGACAGCAGGCAGGAGAGGAACTTGACTTGCTGTGTCGACCTATCAAGAAGGCTTCATTTTTTGCAAGGATTTAAGATATTGATATAGCAGTTGTGGTCAACAGTTTAAAAGTTGATTCTGTATATCAGTATTTCTTGATTATTTTGGTGCCCATCCCTGTAAATTGAAATTAAAAATATTTGTTCATGACGAACCTATTCTATTATAAAAAGAAAAACTATATTTACAAAGTTATATTTAAGCAAACTCTGTGAGAGAAAGAAAGCCAAGTCTATGTTACACTTGCAAGTACAACACGTGAAGTTAGGCGTATGCTGTGTGTTCCCATTTTGTATAATATACTAAATTTTTTAGTATATTGTCCTGCCAGCTAAAACAGACCATCTGGACGCTACTGCGTTGTGACAGTTGGGCCTTTAAATCAGAGATGCTGATACACAATCTTTTTGTAGCATATGCAACTCAACTTTTAGTACACTCATCTTCGCAGCTTGCAGACACTGTGAGATACTGAATATACTGGATTCAGCCACAGCTGCAAAAACTAATTAATTTTCGTATCTTACTGAAAGAAATGATAATTTATGAAGTGTATTCTTTCCGGGAAAATGCTTTCTTCCTTCCTTTTTTTAAGCTGTATTGTTGGGGCTTTGTGCCTTTATTTGATAGGACAGTAGATAGAGTAGGAAACCAGGGAGAGAGAGAGAGAGAGAGAGTGGGGAATAACATGTGGGAAAGGAGCCACACGTCGGACTTGAACCCGGCCATACCGCTTGGAGGTCTATAGCCTGCTGACATGGGGTGTGACCTAACCACTAGGCCATCTGCGCCCCAGAAATGCATTCTTACTGAGCCTGTATTGTCCAAAATCCTTGAATAATCACATATACAAACCAGGGAAAAACATCACGTTACCATGAATAAAAACATGAGAGAGATTGTTTTATGGACATTTTGTTATAAAAAACAACATAATCCCTTCTTAATATTGTGTTTAACTTACTGACAATTGATTAATAGTATCTATATTAATTCCACCACCTGTCTTTGAAGAATTCATATCCTTTATTAAAGGCTCTGCACACCCACAGTCAAGCCACATGGGTGATTTAAGTGTTTGTGCTGATTAGACCATTTATCAGGGTCTGTGCTTGTACAGAGTGCTTCATCCACACCCCAGTCACTCTCCTGTTATTGTTGCTGTTCCACCTGTTTGTGTGGGACAAGTTACACGTATCACACACAAGGTTCCTGTGACATCAAGTTAATTACACCCACATTAGACGTGAGCAGAGGTCTGATCAGCCAGAGAAAGCTCCCGTGTTCCTGTGCAAAACCTTAAAGCTATGGCAATAGACCATTTTCACAGAAATGATTTGGACATGTCACAGCAAAGACAGCAAGCACAGGTGTGAATAATAACATTAATTCAGTGAATTCTACTGAGCTGCTTCAGGTTCAGGGACGGACTTTTGTGCATGCATAGTGTTTCACCGTCATGGCTTACAGAGCCAAAGTGAAAGATGTTAGTAACACCTGAGCTTTCTCCATTCTCACAATCTAAAATATCTCCTCTGGAAGGCCTTTACATCAGTTTAGCAGTATACTGAATTCATTAGTAATCACTTGATTATATCATTCCTACTTGAGGTAGCCTGCTTTTACAGCCAGTGGTATAACAATGCATCATATTACCATAAAACTGATAGTAATAGCTCAGGATTATTTACTTCAGTCCATGAAATGAACCGGCCTTTATTTTGGACAGGTGTCAATAAGAGACACGCCATTCATTATTTTCAATCAAATCTTGT